TCCAGGCTGGAGGCGGCCTAGGCAACGCGAGGACACCCGCGCTGGGCGGGCGGCCTACCCTGCGCTTCGCAGGCGCTCGCCGTGCGTTGGGCGGCGCTGGGCGCGCCCGCGCCGTAAGCCACGCGCGCGCGCCCCCCTCCCTCCGACCTGACTGTCACCCTGCTCCACCCTGCTCATTGGGGGAAGGGTGGAGATTCTTTACCTGGGTGTACACGAGCGGGATGCTGACCCAGTCGTAGCTCCACAGCATGCCGCACTGCGACCGGTACTCGTTGAACTCCTGCCGAAAGAGACACACGGTGAACTTTTTACATGTAACCAAACAAAAGGGGAAGGTGCTGCATGGACGGATCCGTGCTGACCTCCATGATGATCTTGAGCCCCTGCGGGTCGGCGATGCGGTTGGATCGGCGCGTCTCCCGCAGCAGCAGGATGAACCAGGTGCAGGGGATCCAGTACGTGTTGAACTCCAGGGACGGCACCGACTGGTACAGGCCCAGCTCGGTGGGGGTCATGAAGCCTGCGGGCAACAGGGGGGCGGTGAGCGGGCGGCGAGCCGTGCGGGTTCGCGAGCGGGGGGTCCCCAAGCTCCCGGGCGAGCGTACCTGCCTCGACCAGGTGGTCCAGCTTGGGGAAGCGGCGCTTGACGGCGGACGAGATGGACCGCAGCACCAGGATGAGGGTGAGGTTGAGGTAGCGCATGAGCGTGCGCCTGGTCATGCGCGCGTGGTCGTCGTTGCCGTTCACGTACAGGGCGATCGAGTGCATGAGCCTGGAACACACAAGAACGCCGCGCTCGCCGGTGCAAGTTGCACGCACATCGGGGATATGCCGCCCTGCTTCTCACCCTCACGCCCACCGACCACGATGTAACTTTCTGGCTGAGCGCAGGAGAGAGGGGCCGCGCGAGGCCGACTTAAGCGGGGCAGCGGCGCGTGGCGCAAATATCGCACTTGTACCCGCGGCTGGCGCCTCGGCTGGCGCCTCGGCTGGCGCACGCAGTGTGTCACCGTGGCGGGATGGAAGTGCACGGGGAGGGCGAGGGGGGTTGGAGATGCGCCTAATGTCAACCCCCCCTCCCCCCTCGTTTTACACATACATGCACACTTAAGCGCGCGTCTACGTACAGAAGGGGAATTGCAATGGTGTGAAATTAAGCTGATTTCCTCACACGCGTAGAAAGTTGATTTGAAAATTTCGACTCTACATTTAACCATTACGATCACCTCGCACCTTCCTGAGGCCGCGCATGTAGGGCACGGGCTAGAGGAACACCCGCTCGCACGAAGGCCTCCGACCCGACGCCGCAGCACCAACCCGACCCATTGGCAGCCTATACCTTTCATTCCCTATTTTAAGACTGCAATTAATCAAAAGCAAACGCGTGCAGCAGACGATCTGCCCGGCGGCGCACCGCAGCAGCACCGGACCTTGCCACGAGTGGGAGGAGGGGGGGAAAGGCGGGGGG